AAAAAAAAAATTTGTCATTCAAGGATATATGATGTGGGATTGCTAAATTTCTAAGTTTCAAAATTTTTAATTCTTTTTTCTAACTTTATTATTGAAAGTCCACGCATGACATAAATAACCACACATAGACTTGGGGGACTATTGTTATGACTTATAAGCAGAAGCACCACGTGACATCATATTTGAACGGTGGGATCAGCCCAATTGAATCAGGATGTATTTTCTTGGTCTCTGACGTGTCAACCGATGCTCAGTGCTATACTGAGGCCCATTATCCGAGGCTTTCATTGTTAGCCGAGGCTCTTGTTCCGAGGCCATGCACTATCTGAGGCTTAGGGCACCACCACTGATTTGAGGCTCTTTAGCAGTTAGTGATGGCCCACATGTTGAGATTTGCTTATGATGAAAATCTTTATTTTGAATGATTGATGTGACTTTTGTGTAAAGTTTATTTGTGTCTTGTCTTGTCAATGTAAGAGCATTTAATGTCTTGTAAGGTTAGGAGAGTCAACTTGATGGCTAGGACTTTGATGTCTTGGTCGAGGAAATGGTGTCACGTGTAAATTGAGTCCAATGTCATTATTTCATTTGTAACACTATAAATACCACCACCATGTAACACAAGAGAGGTTAATGAAATTCTAAATACTTGGAGCAATATTATTTTCTCGTTTATCAGTATATTTCTACTACAAATCTTGTTCTTTTTCGATTGGTTTCTTATACAATCGTGTTCTGTTTATTTTGCCGGAGGCCCGAACGGAGACGTCTCGTGTCGTTGAGCTCCTCCCACGTTCAGATTCTGAAACTATCCTGACCGTCGATCGGCATTAACGTGTTGGATTAAGTTTACGTGTACACGAGTGGGCCCGATATCTGTTGGCAACCTTTTTGGGATCAACAGATTGACGTTGTCTGTGGGAAACCACACTATAACCACGAGGAACCCCGTGGAAAAAGTCTGTCTGAAAAGATATTTTGGGCATTTCCCTTTGGAAAAATGATTTGTACTTGTGAAAAGAACAAGAGGAAGCCCCCAGAATTGAAAAATATTCAAAGTTCTGAGTTTGGAAAGATATGAGTTCAGGAGAGGATGCCCCTCCCAGGTAAACAAGGGAGACTGATAATGAGGCCCCAGTGGCCCGACGCCGACCCCATCACCACCATAGACAAGGTGGAAGGAGATTGGCGGCCCAGCTTACCAGAGAAATGGTGATTATGACAGCCAATATGAGGAGCATCACCAACCGAAACCTGGCAATGCAAGGCCAGGGAGGTCGCCCAATTCCCCCTTATGTTCCTCATGAGCAGTATCAGCCCGAAGAGGTATAAAGTCAAAGAGCTCACCCTCCCAGGCATAACAGGGGAGGAAGTCTTATGGAAAGAGAAGTGAGAGTTGACATTTCCTCCAACTATGCCTCTGGCAGACCCACCGAGGCCCCGTTTAACATGGATGACAACTTTCCTCTATGATATGAGCCAGAACCTAGGCCCCAGAGGTCTGTTAGTGTATTTGAAGATTGAGCCCAGCCGAACCGAGGCGTAGACAATGGAATAAAGCCCCGCGCCTAGGAACATGCCACAGCCCCCACCTCCTGAAAATTGGCAACCGGATGAAAGGCAAGAATATGCCTCTCGAGTTGTACCGCCTCGGCGTGAGCACCAAAGGAGGGAAGAGGAGACTGGCAATCAAGCAGAACCTTCTGCACAACCGCCTAGATATGAGGCTGAAGCTAACTATGATTCGGATGGCCCATAAAGATCATACAATTTGGATGACAACGATGACAACTTGCCGTTTTCACGAGAGCTGAGGAATGCCCAGGTTCTGAGCCATTATGTAATGCCCAAAATACTGAAATATGATGGGAGAGGCAATCTAGCAAAACATTTGAACAGTTACAAAATGCATATGAGCTTGAGAGGCGCCACCCCAGCTGTAAAATGTAGGGCATTTCATTTAACACTAAGTGGAACAGCTGAAATATGGTATAGCAGGCTACCGCCTGGGAGTATTGTAGCTGGCCAGAATTCAAAACCACCTTTTTAAAGAGATTTGCTGTAAGCAAGGAGGGATAGACCCCTATTCAGCGTCTCCAGGATATGAGGCAACAACCTGATGAAACTCTGAAGAGTTTCTTATCCCGCTTCACGGACGAAATGATATATTGTGTTCAAGTTACCGATCGTGAAGCCCTGTCCGCCCTAAAAGGAAGCCTGAATATGAACACATTATTTTGGAAAGACGTACAAAACCAGGATCTTACTACTTATGATGCATTGTTAGAGATGATGCGGCGGGAAATAATTAATGAAGAGCTAATAGACCACAGAAATAGGGCAAGTAGAGGCCTTCAACCCCAGCAAAGGCAACGTGGTAGAGGCCCAACCTCCCATCTAATAGACCAGCAATGGAACTAGCCTAATGTTGAAATTGGACAA